CATTTCATATTTTCTTTTGATCTGGTTCTTGGTCCCCTGACTACCTACAAGTCTGGTTTATTTTATGTGCACATGATTTGGGCACCAAATACTCTGTGCCAAATTGCAACTCCTGACATGTACAGTACTCCTTTATATCTCTAAGGTGTGCAGCCATTAACAGCAGTGTGATTTTAGAGATGAGACATAGTCTCATCAATAAGCTTAGAAAAAATTAAATAGAAGATAATTTTATTATCAATATTAAGATAATTTCTTAAATCGTTTTTAATCATAAATATTTATTATATAAAAATTTAATTCTGTTTAGCTTCTTGTATTTTGTATTATACTGAAGGTTAATCCTTATCTTAATTGCAAGTATTTATTAAAAACTTAATCTGTCAAAGTATGTCAGGGTTATAAAAACAGTGGGAAGTGTAGTTAAACACTTGTGCCATTTCTTGCAAACATATGAATAGATAATTGTTAGTGGGTCAGGTGCTTGCCTCTGGCCAGTTTTATAGTGTGAATCCAACTTTAACTCATGATTGGTATTTAAAACTAGCATATAACCATCACCACCTTTCAAATTATCTTTCAAACACAGATAATCTGCAGGTTATCTGCTCAAAATCATGATGCTATGCTGGACCAAGATGAAGACATAAATATAGAAAACTGTAGTATAGTTACAGTATGTTCAATTTGTATATGTGTCTGTAACATGTGTTTAACATGACTGCTTTCTGTGATGTGATATATGTACTGTTGTTAAAGCCTAATGTTTCCAGACTTTTATGTAGTGTATTCCTATTCAAGAACGGACTACAAGCATTATAAGTATCTTTATTTTTATGCATTATAAGTATCTTTATAAGTAAATTATATGCACATTGTTCTCTAAGATAATGTGTAATGTATATTTGTATTATGGTTGCTGGTTATGTAATAGTTTGTGCTAAAAGCTTGCAATCTGATATAACAGAACTGAAGCAATATAGCAATATAATAAAAAAAATGTTGCCCTTCAACAGCCAACTTTTTTAAAAAATGTGCTTCCTTGTATGATAAAGATATAATAGATTGTAATGGTCAGGACATCCAATAGAATGCTGAGATTCTATTTTGTTCATCCTATTACTGTTTAGAAAATGTCATGCAAAAGTTTATTTTAGTATTGTATTTTAACTTGAAGTTATTTAATATTATGTGTGGTCCAAAACTCCTTCACTTGTTTACATTTTTGTCTTTCCTTTTTCATAATCTTCAAAAACAGAGTTGTAAAAGATAATGTATATGTTAAACTCAAAGTGGGTTACAGTGTCATAGTGAGAGATTAAGCTGGGAAAGTGATTGATGAAAAAGTTGAGATTCATAAAACAGACAATTTCCAGTTTAAATATACAAAAAAGGGCAAGGTAAGTACTTTATGCAACAATTAGGTAATCGGTCCAGATGTTCCAACTTTCAAGTGATAAAACACCTTCCTTTCCTGATTATGAGCCATCACCCAAGGGAATCTGGTCTTTCCTTGATTATGGGCTATTACCCCAAAGGGTTTGTAAGTGAATACTGGAGGAAGTGATAGCCCCAGTGTGGGAGACACCCATCCTCTCCAATCCAAACTTGTTCCCTAGCAACAGAGCAGGAGCCAATGAGTGAAAAAGGAGAAGTTGGATCATGATTAATCCAAATAACAGATTTCAAATCTGAATCATATAAAGGAGAATGACCCTCAAGGACAAGGGTAATTTGCTGCCATTGCAGATCATGTGTCACAACCATTTTGTACAAGTCTCTAGAGAGACCCACCATCTCCTCAAGGTGATTAAATACTTGTATAAGACCTTTGCCACCTCTGTCTAGTTGATTCAGCTCCTTCACAAGAGATCAACCATATCTGTTTTGATTCAATTATCCTCAATGAGAGAACAGCCATTGCCTCTTCAACCCAATCAACTGAACATTCGATCGACCATCAAGGGCCAGACAACCACCTGAACTCACACATCTTATCCCTAGGACCAGAACATCATCTCATTCTGCCAACAAGAGTAATGGTGTAAGGAACTAAGTCCAAGCTTTATTTTTATTTTACTTTTATTTTGCTTTTATTATATTTTTGTTTGGGGCTTATGTTTAGTTAGGACAAAGGTTTCCTCACCCATCACCCCAGAATGTTCAAAACGAGAAGATAAGGGATTAACCAACTCACCGACGACAAAACGACAGCGCCATAGCTAGAATTCGCACTCACGTGCATGCCCGAGCGGCAGAATTGTAAGTCCGCACTGAAGGGGGGGACACCCCAATAGACTTTTTAGGAACTTGTGTAACCTTTAACTAAACATCCCGATAATTGTTAAAGAAATGTTGTAAAAGGTTAACAAAGTATTGTCGAGAAATAAGCTACCAGATAACGAAGAGAAAACAAGAATGTTACGCGTAGATATGTAAATGAGGGGAGTGTCTCAAGTAGAACTGTGATGTCACCTCAGACTATAAGTACAGTAACTCAAGTGAAGACAGACGAGGTGAGCTCCTGAACCGAAAGCGTTGGTCTGCTGGTAGCAGTGAACAAGGTGTCGAATAGGAAATCCTAGTAGGAAATTGAAGGTTCGATTTTGACGATAGGAAAAAAAAGGTTCCGAGTATTAATTGAGGTGACGGTTAGGATCGATAGTTATAAGAGAATTTGTAACTAAGTTAAGATTGAATTTTGTTTTGTCGGAATTCCAAGGGGAATAGTTTCTAAGTTAGAATAAGACTTAAGTTTGTCGGGTTGATTGTGATTTGATTTTTTATTTAATAAATTTGTTATTTGTTTCTAAAACTTGTACATGGTGTTTGTTAGACTTGATTAAACATTTATTATTGAGAGATTTTTTTGTGACTAACTTTGTCCTTACTTTATTTCGGTGCACACGAAAAGTCCAGGCTTGGCAACTAACAAACCCGAACCCGCATAAAGTACTTGTTAGGTCCCGGCTCTTTAAGAAAAATTCGTTGTAGAGCAAAACACTAAATATAGTACTTTACAATAGGATCAACAATCTATATCCTCACATTGTCTCCCACCTGAACTCCACTCATTTCAGGTGTTGGCTTCAACTAATTGTAAGAATTTTTCCTTAAAAGTAAATGCAATTATAATTGTACATTTGTGTACATCTCTATGTCTGCCAGTACTATTCCCTTACATTTCCTCCTTTTGCGTCATTATGACAGAAGCATGAGAGCAAGAAGTAACCCTACTTTGGAACCTATCATAGAGATGTTTTTCCAACAAAGGTGTTGGGTAATGGCTCACAGTTATGTTAAATTATATTTGAATGTTTCTTTAATTAATATAAAAGAAATTTCTACACTATATAGAGTTTAAAAAAATTAAACAAATAAATCAAAATTAATAGACAATAACAGAATACTATTTATTTATTATTTTTTTTTACCAAGAATCCAACAAAAAATTGCATTTACATGAATGTTTTTATCCACATTCCATTGGACATTATCAGACTGTAGAATTGGAAATGGAGCCACATTATTTGAATATTCAAATTTAACATGTTGTTGTCCAGTGATTGGTGGATATGTTAATTAAATCAAATTTGTAATCACATTGTCTTTAGTTTTGGTCTTGTTAGAAAAATGACAGAAAGTAATGATGTTATGTATAATCAAAATAGAACCTTGCATAGTCAATTTATGGATATTGTTTTAAATGTATATAATTATTGTAGTCATAAAATTCACTTTGTATCAATGTAAAGAGTAATGAGTTTCTAACTTATTAGGATAATGATTATTGTTTCATGTTTTAACATCAAAGTTCTCTGAAATGACATCATGTAGACAAGAAATAATTACCAAAACTTTATCAGCTTTTAAGATAAAAATTCAAATAGGAGTTTCTAATAATATCAGTTATAGCATAGATTGAATGTAAAAAAATTATAGTAGAGAACTAAAGTTAAGATTGTGTTTATCTGTTTAGGTAATTTCAAGAAAATCATGATGGCATAAGAATATACAATATCTGTAGTTCACAAAGGATTTTCCCACTTTCTAAGTGTTCTCAGTGACTTTAGACAAAGGAAAACTGTTTGATGAGTTTATAATAGCTATTTAAAATTAGCATATATTAAAAAACCAATGTTCACAAAACAGTGAAATGAAAGAAATCAGCAATATTTTATAGAATTTTTGTGAATTATTTATTTCAAAAACATACAGTTAAAATTTGTTGATGTTGATTAAACTTTTTTCTTATCTCAAAAATATCCTATTTCTATTCTGCTTGATATTTTGAACTTGACACCAATTTTCATGAAATAGAACAACAGCTGAAATTTTATTATACTATTTTCTGTCTATAATGAGTTTTTCATAGAAAACAATGGAATATTGCATTTAAAAATCCAAGACACTAAAGTTTTTTAAAAATATGAGCATAGACTATCCAAATGGTGTTATTTTTTTTCTCTCTCACATAATTTACTGGGATCCTAACCTTAAATAAAAAGTTAAACCTCATTGAATTTTAGATAAGTTCTGTCAAAAGGGCAAAAAAGTCTAAAAAGGACAAATGAAGATGTCATTTGGATAGTCATATTTTTAATAAAAACAATAGAATGTTTTTTTAGTTATATCTTAAAATTAAAAAAAATTGCTGAACATTAGCTATGATTTGTTTTTCTTCTATATCATCTTTAAATCATTTCAATTAATGCTGAAAAAGAAAGAACTAAAGTACTTTCAGTAACAAAATAATATCATTTTATAATGTAAATAAGTGTTATACATTCCCTGAATAACCTGATGTTTTTGCTCATTTCTCTATTTTAAAGTTACTAATGTGTTCTAGTTTGTTTTATTTTATAGGAAAAAAAATGTTAATATTTATTTTATGTAGTAGAACTAATATTTATATTAATTTATTTTGAATTTTTTTATTTTCAATTATTTCATAATTACTTTATATAAACAAGTACATTAATATTTTTATTTATTTTCAGGAGTGCCAAATATTTAAAAAATCAATATTCACAAAATAGTGAAAAAGTTTCCTTAAGAAAATCTGCATCTACTTGTTGTAATGGTATAAATGGAGAAGAAGTTATAAAAAATCGAAGTGTCAGTTGGCATGGAACATCTACATTCAATATTAATGATACAGCAATTGCTTTTCCCCATTTGTTTGTTGATCTCACAAGTGCTATAAAAGAAGAATGTGCCTCATCTGATAATGTTCCTTTCTTAAATGATAAAAAGGTTAACTTTTTAGAAAAAACTTTTGTGAAATGTATTAGGAAAAAAACACCAAAATGGAAATGCCCCCAGTGTAATTTCATTAATTTAGAAGCTTGTTCTGAATGTGTGATTTGTACTTCAAGGCGTTTACTGAATAAAACTGAGACAAATACTGTTAGAACAGTTGATACTAACATATCTACTAAGGATAATAATAAAACAACAAATTTATCATTTTCAAGTCCATTAAATTGGTTATGCTCATTCTGCCAATCTGAAAATCTTGATTCTGTGGAAGAATGTGTTATTTGTGGACGTTGTAAAACTAAAATAATTAAAGACAATGTTAATAATAATGTTACTTCATCAGAACAGCAAATAGGTACTTTGGGAACTGCAGTGAATTTCCATACCTATCAATTACAAAATTCTGGCCAAACAATTTCAGATACATGTGCTAATTTACAAGCTTTAGCTCGAAAGGGCAAAGCATGTGTAACTGAAAAACTTTTCAGACCTTTAATTAGTCATTTTATATCACCCAAACATTTACCAAAGTTAAACTCAAAATGGACATGTGATAAATGTCAGTTTTTAAATATTCCATCCACAAATCAATGTATAATTTGTGAATCTTCCAGAAACTGTCATAACAGCAGCAATAGTGCCTTGCATGATCCAAGAGGTATTATTGGCATTTCAAATAAAAGAAATGATTTGTCACAGTGCTACTCTCCAAAACAGCAAAAATCTAATATTAAAAGGACTAAAGGTAATCAAAGACAGAATTCTGCGGATTCAGGATTAAAAGATCTGTATACTGTAAATAATACTGAAGATGCATTAAGTTCTCATTCTGCTGAAGATGTTATGTTAATGGACGTTGATAATGATCTTCCATGGGCTTGTAAACGATGCACTTATGAAAATATTTCTGATGCTGTTAGATGTGAAATTTGTGAAACTCCTCGTAGATTGAACATTCCAACAACATTACCACGAAATGCATATAGTTTAGGTTTTTTAACTGATCTAAAAACTTCCTCATTAAATAATGTCACTCATCCTGAAAATGAAAGTCCATCCTTAGCGCGTCGTAGTAAATCTTTTTCAGAAGTTCCAGTAGGAACTATCTGTAATTCAGTACAACCAAAAATGGAAAACTCAGAAAATGAGCAAGCAGTAGATAATTTATTTTCACAAATGGATAATGCTGTAGTTGTTATAGCTAAAGATTCATGTAATGAAGATTTTTGGACATGTAATCAATGTTCTTTTTCAAATAATCCATCATGGTCTGATTCTTGTTTCTTATGTGATACTCCTGTTCTTCTTGATAATTCCACTGATATTCATGTGGATATATCTAGTGAAAGAGTTCATTATACAAATAGACAGAAAGATAAAGATCAGCCAGAAAATAGATTAAGTAAACTTTTAGGTGTGCCATTGATTGATAAGTGGACTTGTGTAAAATGTACTTTAATAAACTCTGCATCTGATAGTTTCTGTATAGCATGTGGAGGATCAAAGCTCAATAGTACTACTAACAATCAGTATCGCACACTTAAGCCAAGTGAAAGTTGGGAATGTTCACGGTGTACACTGAGAAATCCTATATCTGAATCAAAATGTTCTGCATGTGGTACTGAGGAATATAATCCTAGACCCTCAGTTTCAGATACAACAACTTGGAGTACAAGAACATTAAGAGGTAGAAAAGAAAGTTGCAGTGAAGCTGATAAATGGGAATGTTCATCATGCACTTACCATAATAAAGGAACGAGAGTTGTTTGTGAAATATGCCAAACATCCAGAAGCTTGCTTTCTCTCCGGCCGGATAAAGCATGTACCAGTGGTGTTCCTTGCCAAGGTGAAAGTGAATTAACAGAGGAGTTAAGAGTTGTAGAAGAAAATGATGCCCGTGAAAGATGGAAACACATAACTGTATTTTGTGAACAGGTATCAATTTAATTAAATAAATTAATTAGCTAAAAGTATTGATACATCTCTGAAATATATATTGGAATGCTTATCAATTTTTATCACAATTATCATCATCATAAATAGTTATTTTTCATATCATTTCATTGATATTTTCTATTCAATTGTAATTAATTGAATTTTAAAAATATTTCATTTTTCTACATATTTCCCATAGATATATTAAGAAAGATTCTTCAAGCAAGATTCATACTATACATTAATATAGAAACACAGATTTTATTACTAAAAGCTCCTTATTTAAAAAAATAAATGAAAATAAAAGAGAGATTTACTATTTTAATTACATTTAACTATTCCAGAATATCTGTTTTGCATAATACTTTTAAAAGAATATCTACCTCTCATATTCAAAAAAGAATGATAACTTTTCTAAAAAAAACAAATTATTATATGTTATTAGCTTCAAAATTGTATTATTGATTGAATATATCTAAAAATCTATATTAAATAACTTTTTATTTGTGAATCGTCTTTTTTTCTAATAAAATTAGAAATGTAATAAATTGATTTTTTTCATAATTTAAAATTTAATTATTTTAATTAGCTATTGTTAAAATATCAATAAAAATATTATAATAATATAATCTGTTGCTTTAATAAAAAATATGAAAATGAGAAGCTATGAATCATTTCCCAGCTGAGTATGCTAATTGTGAATTGCTGTATGAGCTAAACTGAATGCCACATATTTTAAAATTATTTTCCAATTTGAACTAAAAATTAACAAGAGAATAACAATGTCAGTAAAATTCATTGCTGATCATCATGGTGAAGTTACAATTCGCAAGACTAGCAAAATTGTTTTTTAAGGAAAAATAAATTTTTAAAATCTCTATCAAGCAAATTTATGTTCCAAAATATTGTTTTACATAAAAATTATTTATTTACAACAAATAATGTTCTGTATTTTCACATACACATGTAAAACAATGTGTAAAACACTTTGTGTAAATGTTTTATGCAAACATATGAACATAACATCTTGCTATGGCACAAAACATTGGATCATTTAAGGTACAAAAACATTCATAAACTTTCAAGCTTGTTTGTAGAAATAAATTGAACAAAAGCCATTTAAACAAGCTAAGATTATGTGACATCTGCTTTAAGGATAAAGCCAATGCCACAAATCCTTTGATATTAGCTGAACAGCCATTGGAACTATCAAATCAGTGGCAGGGACAGATTTACAAGTCAGCTTTGTAAACTGTAGCTTAGGACCTTGAGTTCTAAGGGACCTCAAAAAATTACTACAAAAATGAAAATTAAAGTCAAATTTTGTAATAAAAAAATTTTTTACAAACCAACAAAATATACTTTACTTTTTATTTTGTATAGTATTTAATCATATTAATGACCAAAATTGTTTTTATTACATTTTTATTGTTTTTTTCCTTTTTCTATAGGTAGCTTTTAGTAGCTTTTTTTTTTCAATTAAAATATCATGAAAAGAAATTTTTAGTGATTCCTCTTTAAATTGTACCTTACGAAAAAGAAATTCAAACTAGAAAAATAATGAAATGTCATGCAAACAACCTTTTTACTTTCTTGCAGAAATTTAATAGTTGGACAAATGTTTTTGAGCTGCTTTACAGATCAACTTCAGGTCTACCCATACATTAATTTATTTATTGTTCTATTTCTGAAACACTCAAATATCGAAAATTCTTTTGGGACGATTTTTAAATTTTGGAATTTTACAAACATTTTAAATATCATTCTGTACTTAATAATTAGTCAATTTATCTGTAAAATAATAATTTATCATATGTAAATAAAAATGGGAAGATGATGTTTTGAGTGCTGTTACATTTGGTTTTGGTTTCATGCCATCTTTTGTGGGTTGTTGTAATATGCCTTCTATGCAATCAATAATGAGTCACAATCCTTGTGATTTATACAGATATTGTCTAATGTTGTTCTATAAATTTCAAGCATCTCTAAAGTTCTTGTCTCATCTCTTCTAAAGTTCACTTTGATTAATTTTGCCTCTTTGAGCTTAGCCTTTACCTCTTGTTTGGAGGCATAAATGGCTAGTGTGGTGAATTGTTTTTTCTTCTCAATATCATATGTGTGTTCATTTATTCTTCTAGAAATTGATCTATTTGTACCCCCAATGTACACCAGGTCACAATCAAATCTGTCTTAATTGGGACTTGATATATACCTGGTGCCTTAGAAAACATTATGTTGTCTTGCTGTTGAATGGCAGTTGGTAAACCATGCTATTATGATGATATGCAAGTTTGGCTCCTGCTTGATATTTCTTCATATAGTGATTTAAACTTAATGTTGAAGTTCACTCCCACCATTCTAGACTCACCTGGAGTGTTTTGCTGTACATTAGTGTTAGGTTGGGGTTGCTCTCCATTATCTGTGTATCTTTGGGTTATGTGTTGTGCGATTGATGCATGATATGTATTTCAATTCTATGTTGATTCTATTAGTAAAGTGTATGAATGCTCATTTTACTAAAGCATGGAATGCATCTATTTTGTATGACAACAGGTCATTTGAGTCTTCTAATATGAAGAATGGAATATAACCTTGTTTATAGTAAACATTGGTGTTAAGTAAAAATATTACCAGAATTGTATCAAACATAACATTATATGTGATCTTTGTGGATGATATACTTATACCTGGAGATCAAGACCTGATATAAATTTGTTTTTACAGATGATCAACAATAATCCATGCAGTCTTATACTCAAGTTAAACCAATACAGTGATACATCAGTGCATTTTTTAAATATAAACATCAAATTAAAATAGGGAAGTATTAACACAAAGGATATGCATTTTGGGCTTTATGCCCTTCTCAGTCTTTATTATATACACTGGCGGAAATTGAAAGTGTTACACCCACTCAGTATAGTTGAAGACATGTGCAATTAGGGCAAAATAATCTTTTTTTGAAGGCTATTGAATGATAAAAAATTAAATGAAGTACATACAGTGGTATGGAAATTATGGACAGACACATTTGTTATTCAAAATTGCTATAGTGTTTAGTTTATAAGTTGTGAACTGTGTTAGGAAACATGACTTTTTTTTGGTACACAGGTTGTTGGTGACCAGCTATGCCATATTGTTGAGTGAGAACTCTGTACACCCAAACCTGTCTGACTTTGAAAGAGGTCAGATAATTGGCATTTCAGAAATGGGAGCATCATATCATGAAATTGCCCATAGGACTGACCGTACTGCAATGTCAGTACAAAGAGTGGTCACAAGGTGGATGCAGGAAGTGTCTAGTACTCGCAGACCTGGCACAGGTCCACACAGAAGGATGACGCCACATGAAGACCTCCATATTGTGCGGATGGCATTTGCTGACAGATGGGCGATGGCAGCACAGATCCGAGCAATAGTTACTGCCAGAGTCACTCCACAGACAATTGTAAACCGATTGCTTGATGCTGGGCTGAGATCTCGGACCCCCATGCAATGTGTTCCCTTAACCAGATTTCATTGCCAACAACAGTGAACATGGTGTGCTGCTAGATGTAATTGGAATGGTGTACAGTTGTGTTTAGTGATGAATCCCAATTCTGTTTAGGCCAACATGATAGTCAGCAACATGTCCGCCGGCATGTTGGAGAAAGAGCCCATCCTGCTGTAATTTCAGAATGTTACTCAGGTCCAACTCCTGGTGTCATGGTTTGGGAGGCAATCAGTTACGAGAGCAGGACCGAGTTGGTGGTTGTTGAAGGCACAATGATCGTCTGCCAGTATGTTGACAGGGTGATCCATCCAGTATGCCATGCATTTCATGAACACCATGCAAAATGGTATCTTCCGACAAGATAATGCCCATCCTCATGCTGCTGCCATCACAAGACAGGCCTTGCAAAGTGTCGTGATCATGGATTGGCCTGCCCGGTCTACAGATTTATCCCCTATAGAGCATGTCTGAAATGTCATGGGTAGACAGATTACATCTCATAGCCATTTAGCACGCACTGTACAACAACTGACTGCAAAAGTTGTGCAGGCATGGAGAGACATACCTCGACAAGACATTCAAGCACTTATTGATTCAATGCCTACAAGGATCCAAGAGTGTATCCATGCTCAAGGTGGGCATACCACTTACTGAAACAGGTATCAAACAGCAATAAAACTTTGTTTAATTCATTTCATATTGTGTTCATTCTGGGTATGCCCCTGTACATACCCAGTTGTACATACAATTGTGGTATGTACATACCCTGTACATACCACAATTGTTTACCAAGTTTTGTGAATTTCCACCAATTCTATCTGGGTGTAACACTTTCAATTTCCACCAGTATATAATGGTAAAACTAAAAATATAATTAATGGTGACTACAGGAATAACTAATTGTCAAAAATGTGGGGTAGAACAAGTAAAACTATAAAAATAAAAATTTTTTGGTTAAAACAGAAAAAATTGACCAATAAAGGGAGTAAAAACAAAAACTTTAAAACCAATAAAAACTGGTCAAAAACAAGGTGTGAAGGGCTTTACTGTACATTTATCAGGAAGTCTGATCATTAAATGGTACAGTGAATTAAAAAAGGAGGTGGGGGAATAATTTATAATTTATTCCTTATATTTTTAAATATATTTATTTAAAAGTTATTTTTGAATATCCATGTACAGTTCATATAGAATTCATACCAACATTTATTTATAATGTATTTATTCAAACAAATTAGATTTAAATAAAGTTATCATTATTCAAGGCCAATTTTGTTAATAAAAAAGGCATTTTTATTAACATTATTCAATCTGTTTGCTTTCCATGAGCACAGTTTTCTGGATGGTAATTGTCGTAGAAGCATGTGAAACAATAAACATTTCTGCAGTGTGCACATTGAATAAATGTAGATTTACGTATGTCACTAGAAAAAACATGATTAATGTTTAAAAATCCTTTTCTATCATCAACTAATTTGGAGGAGAATCATTCATACTGTATTTACAT